GTGTTTTCTTATAGAACTAACAACCATAGCATAATAAATAAAATGAACAAACTTAGAGCAAAAATTGTATTCTTATCCACTTTCTACCTCAAAACATATTAGTATTCCCCACTACGTTCTGTGAGCCTTCTTTGACAGTTGTGGGGAAATACCATAATTTGACAGAATTTTTCATAAATTCAGGTTTCAGAGCTACAAGTAAATCACAATGCTAAACAATCTCTTCACACCTATAAGAATATATTTAAAAGATTGAATTTTGACATTTCTCCTCTCAACTTAAAAACATAATCAAAAAGGTTTTTAAACATGTCTTCTTATCAGTTGATCCCTTTTGTTTAAATCAGGTCTAAATACAATAATGTAACATTTGGGGAAAAAGATGCATCCTAGAAGCCCGGCACTAGAGGACAAAATGGAGAATATCTCCACAGCCACCATAGCTTTTCCTCTGGTGCTCAGGTATGTTGGAACAAAGGAGACCCACACACTGCAGAAAGCCAACATGCTGAAGGTGATGAACTTGGCTTCATTAAAACTGTCAGGAAGTTTACGACCCTGGAATGCCACAATGAAGCTGGAAAGTGAAAGAAGAGCCATATAGCTCAGAACGCAATAAAACATAAAGACTGAGCCTTCATTGCATTGCAGAACCATTTCTTCAGTTGTTGAGTGCATGTCTAATTCTGGGAATGGAGGAGAGGTGGATAACCAAACAAGACAGATACTTGCTTGGAGTAGAGAGCAGAGCAGGACAACAGAAACAGCCAATCTTTTCCCCACCCATGTCCTTATCTGAGATCCTGGCTTGGTGGCCTTGAAGGCAAGAGAAACAAGGATGGTTTTTGCCAACACACAAGAGATGGACAATGAAAAGGTGAGACCAAATGCAGACTGTCTGAGGAGACAGGTGACTCTCTCAGGTTGTCCAATAAAGAGCAAAGAACAGAAGAAGCAAAGGAGAAGGGAGATGAGGAGAATGTAGGTGAGATCCCGGTTGTTGGCTTTCACAATAGGACTGTCTTTGTGCTGAATAAATATTCCCAACACCCATATTGTAGTGAGGACAAATAAAGTAGCAATGGTGGCTAAACTGAGTCCTAAAGGTTCTTCATAAGATAAGAAGCTAATTGTTTTCATGATGCATCCATCTTTCTTATGGTTTGCATATTGATCATCAGGACATTGAAAGCAAGCAACAGTGTCTAAAAGGAAAAAAATGGCAATGAAGATTCATAAGAATGATAATTATTAATTTTCATATTTATCCACACCCTGATGTTTATGTCCTTGGTACAAATGATAGAATCTACAATATGAAATACATTTGAACATCTCTCTATGTATATTTTGCGCATTGTGGCATTAAGTCAAATATTGCTTTGATTATATACAAGGAAATTTCAAAAAACCCATGAAAATCCATTTTATCTTTATTTGCTTTGTTATAATAAAGGATTCATCAATAACTGAAGTGATCATTTTCATATCTGAAACCATATTGACTTATTGAATATTGAACAATATTCAAATTATGGTACATAAGTATAATAGTTTCACCAAATTCAAACTGAAAGGGATGAAAGATAATATTTCAAGGAGGAAATTGTAGAAAGGTTAATAATTACATATTTGAAGGAAAAATTATAAAGTAAAAGGGATTTTCTGTTTCTGTAAGAGAAGTATATATCCCTTTATATTTAATATCACTATTTTTGTTTTCTTTCTATGTTTCTGTTAAAATTTATTTTCTTGTGTTTACCCCCTAAAGAGAATGTTGGAATCAGTCTGCATATAAAATGCTTTGATATTACATATCCAAGAGAGCTACACACTGTAGAAAAAAATATGCGTAAGTATTTCTCAAAGAAGCAAAACTGTGCTCAAATGGATGGATGGGTGGATGGATGGATAAACAAACAAACAAACAAACAAACAAACAAACAAACAAACAAATAAATAAATAAATAAATAAATAAATAAATAAATAAATAAATAAATAAAGTGACTGATTGGAAAGGAAAAAGTTATTATGATTTAAAGTAGGAAGTGTTTTAATCACATTCCTCATTACATCTAAAGATTTTGATTATTGTTAAGAGATATATTTCATTAATTTGTCCACTGTTCCTAAGAAGTAAATACTCATTTCCTTAAATTTCAGAAATTCATATTTTCATTATTATATTTCAAGAGTGTCCCTATTTAATTAGTACACATTTGAGATTTTTGGATTCCATAGTAAAATCAAAAGATATCAATTCTGAATTCCTTCCTTCTGTCACGCCCCACCGGGCGTGCCATCCACTAGCGGGATTTGGGAGCCCGCCCGGGGAGGCCAGCCGCCGCCGAAACGTCCGGGGAAGCCAGCCGCCCAGCCGAAACGCCGCTACCGCCCGCCGCAGCCCAGCACCTACCCGGAAGGCCCTCGGCCAGCGCGTATCGCCGCCGGGGAACCAGCGACGACCCTTCCCCCCTCCTGCCTGCTCTCCGCCGTCGCGTCTGGGGCGGAGCATCCCGAACCGAAGCGGACAGCCATAGGGGGGCCGCCAGAGGCGCCGCGCGGCAGGGCGGAGCCGGGCAACGCCGCGCGAGGCCGGGCCGCCACTGGAAGCACCGGAGGGGCCGGGAACAGCGGAACCGGGCTGGGTCAGGCCGGGAAGGCTGAGATGGGGGAGGAGTCGCGCCAGCATGCTAGGACGTACCAAGGTGGAGCTGCAAAGCCTCTACATCCAGGGGAACTGGCCCAGGACTTTGGCGGTCAGGGAGCTGCAGAAGACCACGCAAGGCAGTGGGGCAGGACGGACCCTGGGGAGGGGTGGGGTCGGGCTGAGGGAACTTTAATTAGGGCAGGGCAGATGCTGGCTTGTGGCTGGGGGCGGGATGATGGGACGTGGCACCTCTATTTACAGCACTGGGAGCAAGCCACTCCCAGTGCTGACTTTGTTTCAGGCCGAATAAACTTCAAATGAATGCACACCGTACCTGCGTCTTGGGTTATTCTCAGTCGTCACCGGACGGTGTGACAGTAAGTCAGCACTCCCCTTTATTCTATTGCTCCTTTGCCGGCTCCTTGCTTCGAGGGGGATGGCAGAGGGCAAACAGGACGCTCCACAGGGGGTGGAGGAAGAGGCTCCGGCTGGAGCCATGGGTCTTGTCCCCGTGACAGAGGCCCCAGACGCACAGCCTGTGGTCAGGCCCAAGGTGACCAGGGCTGCAGTGCCGTCAGGGGAGGTCCGGGAGACCACTGCTTCAGGGGGTGCCGCGGAGTGGTGGCAAAGCCCCGCGTTGACCAACCTGGAAGCTGCGCAACCCCGCACCCCGGGGGCCAGGCCGCCTCTCATGGAGTGGAGAGAAAGGCGGGTCACAGGGGATGACGAGGCGGAATGGAGCTACTCGACGGCGCCGGGTCAGCATACGATGGATATACTCCGGGACCGGTTTGGCGAAGCCGGTTACCAAGGGCCGTCATCATGGCAACGAGTAGACGGGTCGTTGGGACGTCCTGAATCGACCCGGTTCCGGTTGAGCAGCCCGCGACTGCGACTGACACCCGCAGCAAGCACATCGGCAGCAGGAGGGGCCGGGGTGTCGGCTCCGCAACCCCAGTCCGGATGGCAAGGTGGGTCTGGGCCCGGGGGTGCCTGGGAGGCAACCCCAAGAGGAACACCAGGGGTTCAAGGCCCTGGTTTGGGGACCCATAACCTGTCAGTCCCTGCAGCTGCTGCTCCGGGTGTGGTTCAACCTGCAGGGCCATGGGGGCCAGGAACCGTCTGGGGTCCACCACCTATCCCCATCGCGTATGATGGCAACCCGGACCAGTTGGCTATGTATATGAGCCATGTGATCAGCCACTTGGACCGGTACGGCCACTTATATCCATCCCAGTGGGCGATGGTCATGGCTATCACCGCAGGGTTGCAGGGGGAGGCAGCGGCCTGGGCGGCGGACCTTTATAGTGACCACGCTCCGGAGTTGGGCAATGCCGGCCTGTTCCTCGAGGCCCTACATGCCAGATTCGAGGATACGGCCCGTCTCCAGCGGGCAGAAGCAGAGTTACTGGCACTGAAGCAGTGGGGCCGGCCTGCAGTGGACTATGTCCGGGACTTCCGGCGACTGGCGGGCCGGTTGAGTTCAGTGTGGCCAGACCGGTTGCTAGTTCACCACTTTCGGGCGGGCCTGGACCATGAGTTACGCCAGGCCTGTGTGTAATGGGGGGTGCCCAACCGGCTACGGGACTGGTGCAAGGTGGCCATCAAACTGGATACAGGATTAAGGGAGTGCCAGAAAGGGGGTGGGACCACCAGCCGTCCCCAACGGCCGTTGGGGAGGCAATGAGAGGGCGCGCTGCCGGCCGGACCGCCGAAACCACCAGCTACGCCTGGAGGAGCCGCCTTCCGCTGTTTCCGGTGTAACCAGCCGGGGCACCGGGCGGCTGAGTGCCCAGCCCCCTCTCCGAGAGGCCCAACGACGGCCGGCCGAGCCACCCCGACCCCGAGGAGAGGCACCGAGAAATCGAGGATGGTGAAGCAGTTGGCAACCCCGAAGCCTCAGCGTGAGGAGCCGGTGGAGGAGGACACCCGGTCAGTCGCACGGTACCAGGGAGGTCCCGACGACAGTGAGGACGAGGTGGCCAACGACCCGATGGTAAGTGAACCAGTGAGCCCCTTTGTGCTGCCCGTCACCCTTATCAACCCACGGACAGGGGTGCGAAGAGGTTGCCAAGCCCTTATTGACACCGGGTGCACCCGGTGCCTGATTAGCAGGACAGTTGCGAAGGAGGATGGCATCCGCCTACAACGGCTGCCCCGTCCTGTTCGGTTTGAGCAGGTGGACGGGTCCTTGTTGGGGGGGGGCCAGCAACCCACATTACTGAACCTGTTCGTATGGAGTTGGGCGGTCATTGGGAGGTTCTTCGCTTTATTGTTGCTCCCGCAATGACAGAGGCAGTGATTCTAGGCCTCGCCTGGTTGGACAAGTGGGCCCCAACCATGTGGTGGGAGGGGGGTTTCCGGAAGCTCCAACTTGGGGTTGGGCCCCAACCACCGCAGCAGGCGGCTAGGACACGGATCACGAAGCGGTCGGCAGCAGTCCAACCCCCGGGTGGTGCGACCACCGCCTCGTCGATGGGGGCACAGGAGGACTCCTTCCTGGCCGTATACAACGACCTGGCAGCTGTGTTCAGCGAACAGGAGTGCAACCAGCTACCGCCCCATAGAGCAACCAACTGCGGCATCGAATTGATACTGGGGGCGAAACTGCCGAAACCCCGAATGTACGCCATGGCACCCAAGGAATTGCAGGAATTGCGGCGGTATATCGACCAGAACCTGGAGAGGGGATTCATCGAACCAGCCCGTTCCCGAGTTGCTGCCCCGGTTCTGTTCAAAGAAAAGAAGGACGGGTCCCTACGTCTCTGTGTCGACTTCCGAGGCCTTAACGCCGTTTGTGTGGAACACTTGTACCCCCTCCCCCTGATGAAGGACCTGTTGGCCCACTTGGGTAGGGGCCGAGTGTTTACCAAACTGGACCTGCGGGAGGCGTACTACAGGGTGCAGATACGTAAGGGGGACGAGTGGAAGACGGCCTTCAACTGTCTCCTCGGCAGTTTCCAGTTCCGCGTGATGCCATTCGGGCTACAAGGGGCCCCCGCGGTCTTCATGCAGCTGATCAACCAGGTACTGCATGAGCATCTGTACCGCGGGGTACTGGTGTACCTTGACGACATCCTGATATACACCGACACCCTGGAAGCACACGTCCATCTAGTACGACAGGTGTTACGGAAACTCCTTGATGCGCACCTATACGTGAAGATCTCGAAGTGTGAATTCCATCAGTCCAAGTTGGACTATCTGGGATACCGCATATCAGGGGACGGTGTGGAAATGGACCCCCACAAGGTACAAGCCGTGTTGGAATGGCAAGCCCCCAGGACGTGGCGCCAGTTGCAGAGCTTCCTGGAGTTCGCTAACTTCTACCGGCAGTTCATACCGTCCTTTGCTGCCATAGCCCATCCGTTAACAGAGCTGCTACGGACAAAACATTTGGCCGGTAAGCCCAGGCCGGGTCAACCACTAGTATGGACCTTGACCTGCCAAAAAGCATTTGAGGGCCTGAAAGCCTTGTTCGCCAAGGAACCCGTGCTACTCCACCCGCAGCCCGAGGCCCCCTTCATCGTGCAGGCAGACGCCAGCGACGTGGCCGTTGGCGCAGTACTGCTCCAACGGAACGAACAGGGGGTCCTCCAACCATGCGCTTATACGTCTCGCAAGTTTACCACGATGGAGAGGGGGTGGGCCATATGGGAGAAGGAAGCCTTCGCTGTCAGATGGGCACTGGCAACATGGAGACACTTATTGGAGGGGGCTGCCGTGCCGTTTGAGGTGTGGACCGACCACAAAAACCTTGAGGCGTTACAAACACCCAGACGGCTGTCGCCCAAACATGTCAGGTGGGCACAGTACTTTACGCGGTTCCGGTTCACCCTCAAGTACGTACCCGGTGGGAAGAACTTCCTTGCGGACGCTTTGTCACGTATGCCCCAATACCACAGCAAACATGACGAAGTTGTGCAAGCAATAATGCCTCCCTACACCCAAACCCCCGAACGAGCAGGCCCCTGTACAGTGGCGGAGAGGGTGCTCCCGGACCTACAAGTGGCTGTGCGGAACGATGCCTGGTTGCGGGACCATCCAGGTCTCTTGACACTGAGGGGGGGTGGTGGCCTGGAGGGGGGACAAGCTGTATGTCCCTGAGGCCCTACGGCATACTGTCCTCCAACGGTGCCACGACGCCAAGCAGGCCGGACACTTTGGGTTCCTTAAGACCTTACATCTGGTGCGGAGGCAGTTCTGGTGGCCCCGGGTGAAACCGGATGTGGAAACGTATGTGAAGGCCTGCCACATTTGTGCCACTGCTAAGCCCCGGGTGGGGAAGCCAATGGGCCTGCTGCAAAGGGTAGCCGACCCAACGCAGCCGTGGGAAGTACTGGCTATGGACTTCATCGTTGACCTCCCAGATAACCGCGGCCACACCGTCATCTGGACCGTCATCGACTTATTTTCGAAGCAGGCCCACTTCATTCCGTGCCGGGGGCTGCCGTCGGCCCAACGCCTCGCCCGACTCTTCATCCAACACGTGTATCGTCTGCACGGGGTGCCTCAGCGTATCATTTCGGATCGGGGGGTGCAGTTCACGGCGTGCTTTTGGCGGGACTTCCTTCAGCTCCTTGGAACCTCCCAGGGCCTCAGCTCGGCGTACCACCCCAGCACCAACGGAGCAGCGGAAAGAGCAAACGCCATGGTGGAACGCTACCTCCGTAGCTATGTGTCGTTCCAGCAGACCGATTGGGTGGATCTCCTGGCATTTGCGGAAGTGGCCTACAACAACACCGTGCACAGCAGCACTGGGTTCACTCCCTTTCGGGTGGTGCATGGGGTGGAGTTTGTTCCCATCCCCGAGTGGGCCCAGTGGACGGTCACTCCACACACCCCGCAAGCATGGGCAACACGGGTAGCAGGTCTCTGGGGAAGGGTTAAAGAGGCGTTGCTCAAGGCTGAGGCGGCCGCAAAGGTGCAGGCTGATAAAAAAAAGCAGAGCATCGGGCCTTCCAGGTGGGGGACTGGGTTTATCTGGCCACAAAATATCTCAAACTCCGGGTGCCCTGTAAGAAACTGGGCCCTAAATACATCGGACCATTTCAAATAGTCCAGGTACTCAACCCGGTGACTGTCCGCCTGAGATTGCCCCCCTTCCTGGGCAAAGTGCATCCCGTGTTCCACGGGAGTCTCTTAAAACTGGCAGCCGGACCCCCACAATCAGCACCGGGACCAGTCACCGGGTCGCAGTACGAGGTGCAAGAGGTCCTGGATTCCAGGGTCTGCCGGGGAGGGGTGCAATACCTACTCCGATGGAAAGGTTACCCCCTCACCGAGGCGTCCTGGGTGGGGGAGCCGGACGTACATGCCCCTCGGTTAGTCCGGGCATTTCATCATAAACACCCGGGCAAGCCAGGGGCAGTAGCATGTGGCGCTAAATGTGTGTCTATTTCTCTTCCAGGAGGAGCCATGGTAGAGGGGGCCGCATGTCATGCCCCACCGGGCGTGCCATCCACTAGCGGGGTGTGGGAGCCCACCCGGGGAGGCCAGCCGCCGCCGCAACGTCCGGGGAAGCCAGCCGCCCAGCCGAAATTCCGCTACTGCCCGCCGCAGCCCAGCACCTACCCGAAAGGCCCTCGGCCAGCGCGTATCGCCGCCGGGGAACCAGCGACGACCCTTCCCCCCTCCTGCCTGCTCTCTGCCGTAGCGTCTGGGGCGGAGCGTCCCGAACCGAAGCGGACAGCCGTAGGGGGGCCGCCAGAGGCGCCGCGCGGCGGGGAGGAGCCGGGCAACGCTGCGCGAGGCCGGGCCACCACCGGAAGCACCGGAGGGGCTGGGAACAGCGGAACCGGGCTGGGTCAGGCCGGGAAGGCTGAGATGGGGGAGGAGTCGCGCCAGCATGCTAGGACGTACCAAGGTGGAGCTGCAAAGCCTCTACATCCAGGGGAACTGGCCCAGGACTTTGGCGGTCAGGGAGCTGCGGAAGACCACGCAAGGCAGTGGGGCAGGCGGACCCTGGGGAGGGGCGGGGTCGGGCTGAGGGAACTTTAATTAGGGCAGGGCGGATGCTGGCTTGTGGCTGGGGGCGGGATGATGGGGCGTGGCACCTCTATTTACAGCACTGGGAGCAAGCCACTCCCAGTGCTGACTTTGTTTCAGGCCGAATAAACTTCAAATGAATGCACACCGTACCTGCGTCTTGGGTTATTCTCAGTTGTCACCGGACGGTGTGACACCTTCCTTCCTTCCTCTCCACCTTCACAGTCATTCTTTTATAGGTAGTTTTTAAATTTCATAATCATGTTTCTGTGGTTTCATATTTCTCATCTTTAAAAAAACCCTGAAATAATTATTTTTTTCGGTGTGCATAGATTTTCTTCAGTGAAAATGTTCTGAATCTCTACTATGATGCTTGCTTGGTTAATTAATTAATTGAAACATTGTTGTGATTGTGATCAACCCTTGTAATTCCATTGTAAGAACTTATAATTTTTCATGAATTAATTGATTTCATTTCATTACCCCATTAAGTTTCTTTTAAAAAAATCCTTATTCATGAAAAACCAAACAATTTAATTAGTGGAAAGTGTTCAGCACACTAGACAGTATAACAATGAAACTGAATGATTTGTTAACTTACCAATCTCTTTAGAGATTTTCCCCTCTGGACATTCAACACAATCATAACAGCAGAATTTCTTTCCTTCATTCTTCCTCTTTTGATAACCAGGGAGACAATGTTCATTGCATAGAGAAATGGGAAGCACCTATTTATCAATATTAAAATGTTGGAAGATGAGCATTTATTGTTTTGAAGAA